TAAAACAGCCCATAGCCAACAAGAAAATGGTAAATAATAAGAAAGCATGAGCCCCCACCCCCCCAAAATAAAACCACAGGAGTCTTTATCACATTGCTTCATTCCTTGTGCAGTTTTGGCTTCTTATACTGGTCTCTCCTGGTGAAAAAAGGAACCCAATAAAATTCTCCTGGGTCATCAAGCCATTTTAACAGTTCTCTTCTCCAAGTCACAATTGAGGATTGGCACCCCACACAGTGTTCCCCTCAGCCCTCTCCAGTCTGACTTCCACTACAGCCATATCTCCTGTTACTTTTGCATAAGCCACCAATAGTAATTGCTTTATTGTCTTCAATCCAGGGGGTCATCTTTTAAATCTGCACATTTCTTAGCATACTTCACATGGTTGATTTTACTCTTTTCTCCTGCCATATGATTTTGCATCATTTATATAGTTATTTATACATTGCCAAGGCTTATAATATTTGCATTCACATTTGTATCTATAATGCCCACAGTTTAATCATAGTTTTATTTTTAAGTGAAATGATTGTTGACTGAATTTAATTAATTCTTCAAGTAATTTTCTTGGGAAGGACTCATGGATATTTGTTGAGCTCTTTGATTCTACTTCTTGCCTTCTTTCATCAATGTACAGAAATAATACAAACCTGTGTACAAATCATAAAATCACCAATAACCTGCTTATTCACTCATATTGATATGCTTGGGGAATTGTTGTCATTTTGTGCTTTTGAGTCACCTGCGATTCATAGCAACCTGATGTACAACAGCTTGAATCCTGCCCTATCCTGAGCCAGTCTCACTGACTCGACACACTTAATCTCATTTCCCCAGTTATTTGGTCAATCTCTTTCATTCAGGGTCTTCCTCTCCTGCACTCTTTCAACCCTTCCAAGCGTGGTGTCCTTCTCTGAGGACTAGTCCATCCTGGCAATATGCCCAAAGTATGCCTCCAAAGAGAAGCTTGTTAAATCTTGATCTTCCATTGGCTTTAGAGAACACCACTTTCCTGGTTTTCTCTTACTGATTGCTTCTTCTCAGCTCTTGCTACTGAGTGTTAGCAAGTGACATTGGCTATAAAGTACTGAAGAGCAATGATGTCAGTCTGGAGACTAAGGTGCATCTGATCCAAGACATAGTCTTTCAGTTACTTGCTGTGCATCAGAAAGCTGGGCAGTGACTAGGAATGGTAGGAGAATTGATGCCTTTGAGCTATAGTGTTGGAGAAGAGTAGTGAATGAACCATGGACTGCTAGGAGAACAAACAGGTTCTACTTAGAATGGGTGAGACCAGGCTGCTCCTTGGAGGCAAGGATTCTGAAACTCCATCTGACATACTTTGGACTGGTTGCAAAGAGGCACCAGTCCTTGGAGAGGGATGTCAGGCTTGGGAGGGTGGAGGGACAGCGTAGTAGAGGAAGACCCTCGATGAGATGGATTGGTTCAGTAACTGGGGTAATGGGGGTAGATCTGTCAGAGACAATAAGGTTGTCACAGGATAGATCAGGGTTTAGGGCTGTTGTACCTAGAGTCACCATGAGTTGCAGGTGACTCGATGGCACATAACAAGTACAACAGGAGCTTGTTAAACAACAATAACAAAAAAAAGATTCCCACCTGAGTCTACTAAAAGCAGAATCTGATCTGATTGTTGTAGTTATTGTTCGATGCTGTAATTTTCAACTGATAGTGACCCCTGTGACAGAGTAGAAACTCCTCATAGGGTTTTCCTGACCTTAATCTTTACAGAAGCAGATTGCCAGGTCTCCTGCTGGACAGCTGAATAGGTTAGAATTGCCCACCTATGCCGTGAGCAGCGGTGTCCTTAACTATTTTCAGTAGCAGGACTTCTCTAATGTGATTTATTTTTTGGTCCCTACTTAGTGCAGTCTAGGCACCTACCACTTTAGGGTATAGAAAAAAATCTTTGCATTTTTAATTCGTTCTTATTCCTAATGATGACTGCAGTTATCTGTGTGCTAAAAACTCAAATCTCCAATTCTGTCTCCTCTTCTATATCAGCTGCTTTTAAACCATCTTCTCAGACATCTCATTTTCTCGAGGCATTTTGTCTTTTACCTGAATAAGTGTGTTGTCTTTGGCAGAATGCCAGGCTATATCCTCAGTTGCTAGCTGCAAGGTTGGAGGTTGGGTCCACCAGAAGCATCTTGGGAGAAAGACTTTGTGATCCACTGCCAGAAAGTCACTGAAATCCTGTGACGCACATGGGGTCACACATTACAAGTGTTGGCATCTTTTAAGGTGAGCTCTGGTGGCCTACTCCGTAGGGACTCTTGCCTCTCTATTATTCCATCTATCAGCGGCTCCTTGGGAGGATCCTGTATGATTTACAGTCGCCAAAAACTTGCGGGCAGGTCATTTATGAGTAGGTTCCAATTTCATGGCTGTGAGTTTGAGTTTTGACTCTACATACTGCACACAGGGTCATCCTGATTTACAGGCAGTGGATTTGGTGTTTACTATGTTTGAAATAGGTATGGAAGTTGAGAGCATGTTGATATGGGTCATAAAGTACAAATGGACTTTGAACTACACACCTGGGTTGGGATTTTTTGCTTTCCTATGTCCTCATGTTTGCTGAGAATTCTGTCCTGTATTAAGTCCATTGTTCTATTTTTTTCCCTCACATGAATCAGTACTATTCTCAAATGAAGGCACATTTTTGAGAATTGTTTTCAGACAAGAAGGAGCCCTAGTGGCATAGTGGGAGCTCTGGTATAGTGCAGGGGTAAGGAATTGCTCTGCCAACCCCAGGGAAGGCAGTTTGAATATACCACTTGCACTGCAGGAGACATTCTCTTCCCGTGAAATGTACTGATTCTGAAAACCTGCTGGAGTGTCAGCTATGTCAGTTCCGATTTGATAGCACGATAGTGGATAAGTGGTTTAAACATTTTGACTGGTAAAGATCAGCAATTAAAACTCATCAAGATGTTCTGAAGAAGAAAGATGAAGCACTCTGCTTCTATAAAGATTTTATAACCTTGGAAACCCTTATAGTTCCACACTGGGTGAATTGGAATTGACACCATTACATGGAGGGTTTTGCTTTGATTGAAGGGACTTGTCCCTGTGTGCTGTAGGACATCAATATGAGGCTTATCTGGGAGTTACTGGCTTACTTTGTACATTACTTTTATACAGAATTATTATGTTTGGAAGTTTCACTGCTTAAAATGTATGATGTCTCCTGCCTACTATCTCTAGGATTTAAGTGATAGGTTATTAGAAAGTAAAAATGTAGATCATATATTTGTCTGGGGATGGACTGTATCTGGTTTCAGTTATAGTTTCTGTATATGCATACTTATTTGTGGGCGCTCTGGTGACTTTAGGGGGTAAGGAGTTGTGCTCAGTATTTAAAGGCTTGTGGTTCGAATTCACTAGGTGATCAGAGAAAGATGTCTCTGAAAATGCACAGGAGATTCAGCTATGAGTTGATTCTGACTCAGTGGTACACAACAACAACAAAAATATTAAATAATGAGTTTGATATGATTGAACACAGTTAAGATGGGGAATAAAAATTTGCTTTAAAGTGAGCAATCTGCAATTATTACATGATACTAACTGGTTTTCAAAGACCCACTCTTGATGCATTTAAAGGCTTTTCTAAGCATGATGTAACAGGTTAAACCTTTGTGTGGTTTAGCTGATGCAATGCAGTTTGAATCTCGGGACTTTATTGAGGCAAGGGTAATGCTTATTTAAAAACAAAACAAGCTACTGTAAGTTTAATGAGGCAGTTTAAGATGGCTTTCCCAGAGTGGGAAGAGAATACAATTTCAATTTGGAGGTTGAAGTGGGAGTTTAATTTAGTTTAAGTGTGTTTACTACTCTCACTGCAAAGTCTTTTTGTGAGGTGGGGTTGCAGGTTTTGCTGGATTTACTTCCCAATTTCCAAATAAATTTCATTTCAGTCTAAAGATACATACTTTAACATAAAAAATACAGCAAAACAACGTCAGTTTTATATGAGACAACGTATTTTATCTATGCGAAGGAGGCATCTTGTACCATATTTCTGGACTCTTAAAAAGCCATTGATTTTAAAACTTCCACTTGGAGAAATGTTAAAATGTGGTTTGGATGTGTGCAAATAGGGGAGTTAGAGTCGCGGAAATACGGTAGTTGGTGCCGATGGACTCCGGAATGCTTTTACTTTGTTGGCACGGTTAGACTCATATTCCAGTGCATGGAAGAGCGTCTGATTCTCTGGCGACACATTTCTCATGTGAAATTGCCGGTGTTTGCCTTTTTGACCTACAAAAACAGCTTGATTCAGCCCTAACCCGTGGAAATACTGAGGCGAGTACAGCATACAGCGTCCTTTGAGCCAGGTCGCTTCGGGTCAGCCGTCGACCCTCCCGGGAGGGGGCGGGGCGGGGGCTGCGGGGCTGAGCCGCGGGGCGGGGCGTCGGTGCGGCCCCTCCCCCTGGTTCTCGGCCGCCGCCCTAGGCTATCAGGCGCTGCAGCCTTCACACTTGGTTGTAATTGGGTCGTCTTCTAGGCTGGACCCTGCAGAATCTCCATACCTGCTTCAGAGAAGTTACTTCTTCTCAAGCCACTGCTGTGCACCCTTACAACTCCGGCCTCTACCTCGTGAAGACGAATGCCCGAGATAAACTAGGGTTTAGAACACAGCCGGTTCGGTGATGGCTCCCATTTTGGAGACGCAGGCGAATTTGTGCGTGTATTAGAGGTGTGGCCGATTTTTCCCAGCATGGGAAATACTTTGTCTCTGCCACTGTAGCCGGTATCTGGTGCACTCTGAGGAATGGGTAGAGTGTACAGAGCAGAAAACTTACCGTGATGTGTTGAGCCTGATCTCTAACAATTTGAGTCTTTATTTAGGAACAGAAGGTGACTGGGAGGGGCCTGTGTTAGAAATTTGCCGTGGCGTCTGGAGGAAACAGTGCGCTGCATGTCTTCCTTGGCGTCTTGAGGAAAGGAATTGAGCTGCCTATCTTCCCATGACTTTTCAGTACTCTTGGAGGGCAGTTTTGCTCACTTGCCTATTAGAAGCTAGGACAGGGGACAGAAGAGGTGTTGGTTGACATTAAGAGTTGCTTAGACTTGAAATTTTTAAGTTAGTGGAGTTTGAATGGATCAAGGAATAGTACTGATCTAGCACTTGCAGTGATGTCTCATTTGATCTAATTTTAAAATAAAACAAGGGGTTTTTAGGGTTTCGGTAGGGATGTCTCAAGATGCTTGGATCTTTACTTCCTACTGCAAAACTGCTGCATAATTAGAAGCCTTGGAACCTTTGGAACTTTGGGGTTGGATTGTTTTGTTTTGGCTTTAAAAAAAACAAAACGCAGCCAGCCTTTAACGTCATCTTTTACTTTGAATAGAAATAAAAATTGTAGTTTCCAGGGACTGGAGAGCATTATGCAGAGTGAACTCAGTCCCACAAGGACAAATATTGTACACAATCATTATTGTAGAATAAGTATCCCAAGTGGGGGGAGAGTGGGATGAGGATGTGGGCAGGATTAATCATGAGTTGTACAATTTGATGGGGGGGGGGGGGTTGAAGGAAATTGGAATAATCTGTTCTGGAAAACAATGTATTAGAATTTTGTAAATAAACTTGTAATAAATAATAAATGTACTTTCTACATTTGGAAACATAACATGAATTTCAACTATTGATAAAAGCATTAAGTATTTTACTATTTCATGAAACTGGACAATAGTGTTCTCCTGTCTAATGACCTTAATTGTGTTAATACAAACTGCTCTTTAATGTTTTGGGTATTTGATGCTTAATTGTATTGATTTAGTAACTTAAAAGCTATTGTTGGCTTAGACTTGTTTTATGCTGGAGTTTTCAGTTGAACCTTTCAGTGCAATGATGTTCAGTGGACATCCAGCACACAGATGATTTTAGGGTGTTCTGGCAACACCAAGTCCATTGTTTTACAAACAGCATAAAATGGAGGATCATCAAACACACAGGAGTCCACACAGAATCCAGATGACAGTGGAGTCTTGTGGAGATAGAGCCCCTGTGTTACTTTCCATTTCAGTTGAGCCACGTTATGATGGTATCAGCCATACTTTTGTTTACCCTAAACTTTAGAAAACTCCTTTAATAGAACAGTGGGATTGATTTTGTTTGTGGACTTTTCTTTTGGTTGGTTCATCCTCATGGCTTAGTGGTAAGGAGTTGCATTGTCCACCAAAAGGCAGGCAGTTGAAATCCACAGGCTGCTCTACATGAGAAAGATTGGCAATCTTCCTCCTGTGTGATTACTGCCCCAGAGAACCTGCGGGTCTGCTGTGAGACTGTACATAACAGCAGCAACCACTGCCTCCATTTAAGGTATCTGTTGGCAACTACTTTGAGTAATTTAGAGCCCATATTGAATTTGCATAGTCATATTATTAATCAGTATTGCTTCTTAGAAGATAAGTTCTTTGCAACACAAGAACAATTACAGTTACCTGTGGCTTAGTGTGTACTTGACATTCTTAGGACACCAGCAGACCAATTGATTATCTTTGCCTTGCCTTGCCGCCCCTCAAACATAACTCATCCAATTCCCAATTATAGTGATCTTTCTCCTAAGGAGATGCTTGTGCATTTGAACTCCCAGATACACATAGTAGGCCTTGGGTTAACAGTGCAAATTGCTATGGACTATGCCACCAGGGCCTACCCAGGCTCCTCCCTAAAAGTGAATGAACTGCCATATCTCAGCAGTGTTCTCTTTTTGGGGGAGAGTGCTTTTTAATCTTAAGTCTGAGTTGATAATTTCTTAACAATTAGCTATTAAATATTCTACTAATGAGCCTCATCCCCCTTGTTTGGCAGACCTCTCCTGTGCTCTTTTTTTATCTTTTTTTCTCTGACTGCACATTATTTTTGGACAAGGAATGAACAAAATAATTTTCTCTGGTAGCAAGAAGCTGCACTGCAATACTAATTGCACATGGTTTTAATCCACCATCACCTCTGCTGATGGTCGGAATCTTCCTTTACTGCCTTAACTGCCTCTGAAAATCTGCTGGAGGTTCAGCTTTGAGTTAGTTCTGACTTGATGGCACACAACAAGGACTAAAACCTTGAGGATGATTCTTTTTCTCCCCTCATTTTTTGAGGGTGACACCCGATTAGCTCAAAAACAAGGTTAATAACTAGCGCCAATGTTAGTGTTTTAGGGAAAGGTTTGTTAGGTGTGATGGAATGGTAGCAGGCCATTTCTCTGATGCCTTCTGTTCCTCATTCCCCAAACAGACCACTTGAACATACACTGTCCACTGTTAGTTACCGTGGTGATTGATTCTTTGACATTTGAACTATAGAACTTACTAGGAACTTGTGTAGCTATCAGCAGCTGACTTAAAATGAGAGAGAGTGATTAGGGGAATGAATGTGAAGAAGGATTTGATTGAAGAAACATGGTCAGTATTATTGGCTTGATAGCACTTAATGAATTTAATCGTTTAGGATTCGGTTTCTCTTTCTACATTTCTTAATTCATGTGGTTTTGGAGTTAGCAACACTATTTTTAACTTAAGGGGATTATAAATGTATTCTAGAACATTTTGAAAAAGTACAATCCTAATAATAATGCCTATTTAGTATAATTTATGTTTATTTTTAAACTCTATTCCATGGATCTTTTTGCTTACAGTAAATGTATTTTCTGGCATGTAAATATTATTTGTAAAGCAAGTTAGAGTTGTAACTATATTTTTATTTCTATGTTTTTCTTACAGAAATGAGCCGCCAGACTGCGACAGCATTACCTACTGGTACTTCCAAGTGTACACCGTCCCAGAGGGTGCCTGCCCTGACCGGCACGACTGCATCCAACAATGACTTGGCGAGTCTTTTTGAGTGTCCAGTCTGCTTTGACTATGTGCTCCCACCCATTCTTCAGTGTCAGAGTGGTCATCTTGTGTGTAGCAACTGTCGCCCAAAGCTCACATGCTGTCCAACTTGCCGTGGCCCATTGGGATCCATTTGTAACTTGGCTATGGAGAAAGTGGCCAATTCAGTACTTTTCCCTTGTAAATATGCCTCTTCTGGATGTGAAATAAGTCTGCCTCATACGGAGAAAGCAGACCACGAAGAGCTTTGTGAGTTTAGGCCTTACTCCTGTCCGTGCCCTGGTGCTTCCTGTAAATGGCAAGGCTCTCTGGATGCTGTAATGCCCCATCTGATGCATCAGCATAAGTCCATCACAACCCTACAGGGAGAGGATATAGTTTTCCTTGCTACAGACATTAATCTTCCTGGTGCTGTTGACTGGGTGATGATGCAGTCCTGTTTTGGCTTTCACTTCATGTTAGTCTTGGAGAAACAGGAAAAATATGATGGTCACCAGCAGTTCTTTGCAATTGTACAGCTGATAGGAACACGCAAACAAGCAGAAAATTTTGCTTACCGACTTGAGCTAAATGGTCATAGGCGGCGATTGACTTGGGAAGCCACTCCTCGATCTATTCACGAAGGAATTGCAACAGCCATTATGAATAGTGACTGCCTAGTCTTTGATACCAGCATTGCACAGCTTTTTGCAGAAAATGGCAACTTAGGCATCAATGTAACTATTTCCATGTGTTAAAATGGCAATCAAACATTTCCTGGCCAGTGTTTAAAACCATTGCATTCAGTTTCACAGAGAATAATGCACCCATCAGCCTGCCAACATGGAACTGTTTTGGTAGGTGGAAGCTAGACACATGAAGGTAAATAAAAGGAAAGCTGTTAATACAGGAAACCAGTTGCATGTAGTAACGCTAATATATTTAAAATAAGTCAGCAGTAAATCACTGAAAAAAAAATATATACTCCCAAGATGGGGCATCTTTTGTATTAAGAAAGTTGATTCTGCAGGAAGCATTGTAAAATAATTCTGAATTTGTGTTTGTTGTAGATTGATTGTACTGTTGAAAAATATTGGGATTTTTTTTTGTTTTGTTTTAGTTTTGTTTGTGTGTGTGCGCACATGTGTATGTGTGAGATTTTTCTCCCCCCTTAACTGACAAGCCATGTGGAGTGGTCCTGGACCGCTGCTTTCCAAGCCCTTCGTGAGTCACTACATAGTGCTGCTGTGTCATTTTTTTTTTTTGTGTGTGTGTTTGCTAATTTTTATTAATTCAAGTTTTTCATTAAATAAATAAATTTGACTTTCTTTTCTGTAATTCAGGTTTTCCCTCCTTTTTTTGTACCTTTTTAGTGTTTTTGATATACATAATTCTTTATGGTGACGTTTATAAGTATGTGTTTGGTATTTTCTTTCCCCTGATAATCAGTTCATTAGAAGCATTTAAAAATAAAAGTACTTACTGGAGATAATTCCAGAAAGAAACGGTAACATTGGAAGACTTAACCAAAAGCTGTAAATGGGTCTATATTTTTTTCCATCTGAGTCATATCTTTAAACTCACTCTCTGAAAAACAAGGGAATAAATTCTGCTTTAAAAGATAATACTGGGAAAAAAATTAGGCTTTTTTTTCCTTTTTCAAATAGTCTTCATAAAGTTTGTTTAAATTTTTTGTTATTTATTGGTTTGCAAAGAAGGCACCGTCTTACACAGTATTTGTAATTAAAAAGAAAATAATTTGTTTAAAAACAGTTTAAAGACAGTTTGAAAAAGATGTTTTTGTCTTTTTATAATTCTCATTAAAAGAATACCTGGCAAATTAAAAACTCTTTAACGTGTCTGCTTTAGCTCTGAGTTTGAAAATCCAAGATAATCTTGTTCCATTTTGCACTTTGACCATATAGCAGAAAGTAATGTAGATCACATTTCAGAGTTCAGATACATCGCAGGAGCTCAAGAATATGCTTGATTCCACTGTTTGGATTTGTCTTATTTTCCTTTACCCACATGTCACCAGTAACTAGTAAATTTTCCTCTTGAAAAGGAAGGAAAGATACCACAAAAGTGAATTAATTTAGTACTTAAAGCCTAGTAGTTAAGCGCTATGTCCAGATAGCAGCAACTACACTGTGTCTACCAGCTGCCTGACCCATGTCTCCTGGTGTGTACAATGGATTAATTGTAGCTCATGTGGAGATTACTGAAAGTCATCTCTCTCGTAAGTAAAATCTTGAAGATTACTAAAAAAAATCGTTACAACAGTACATCAGCAGAGAAGAGCAAGAAATTCAGGCTGGACTGAGATGGAACTGCAGCATGCCAGATAGCTTTTGTCTGAAAGCAAAGAATACCACCAGAAGGATGTCTATTTGGGCTTGTGAAGGAATCACTCAGGTCAGGCCTCAGGCTAGTTCCTATCTCAGGGTGTTTACACTTTCTCCTTGCTCTAGTCTGGACTCCTGTCCTCCTTGCTTGTTACAGTAATTTGGGACTGCTCACCACCGAGTGCCCTGACTACAGTGAACTCATAGTGACACAGTAGGACAAAGAACTGGCCCGGCAGGTTCCCATGCCTGTAAGTAAGTCTTCATGGAAAATCGACAGTCTCAACCTTGGTCAGTGGAACAGCTTGTGTGTTTGAAATGTGAAATGTTGACCTTTTCAGTAGCAGGTAGATAGATGCCTTCACCACAGTACCAACTGCACTAGAATTGATGACAGTGAGTTTGTTTTTCTCTTTACCTAAAACAGCTTCTGACCCAATTTAATTTCCCTCCATTTTCATGTTTCTAAATTTTTTTTTTTGTAACTGGTAAAAATAATACACTTGACATAGACTGTCTTTGTTACAGTGTGGTTTAATAACAAAGTTTACATACTTCACATGTGGGCCATTCCCACCACCTCTACTCCTATTTCAACAGTGTTTACCTCCAGACTCCTGCCCCTTCAGGTGTTCATCTGGAGGATACTGTGTGTCAATCTGATGCCATAGGCCAGTGCTGGTTCAGGATTTAAAGACCCAAGCTAAGTTTTTTTCCTTAGTAGATATTTTTAATAACAAATTATTTTTTTAAAATAGTATTAACTGACGGTCTACTTCTAAAAATTTACACAAAATATTATGTGAATAATTGCTTTTATCTACAACACTTTACACAGTGCTGGGGATATAATGTCACATGGTGTTAAATGGAACAAACTCAAGGGTGGTGCGCCACTGAGTTTTCGGAGGCAATAAATCACACTGGAGAAGACCGTTTTATCTTTCTCTGGTGGAGAAACTTGTGGATTTGAACCACATCATGTCTTCTAAAGGGTTGGCAGTGTTAATTCCTTAACCTCCAAGCCATCAGAGCTCCCCTTTATAAAAAGGAACTCACTTTTTAAGTCCTAGCTCATTGTTTTAGTATCCTAGAAAATACTCATCATTTAATACATTGGGTACATCGATTATTGTGTAGCATAGAGTCAGAACTGACCCAGTCAGAACCGACCTGTGAGAAGAGATTGCCCATCCTTCTCCTGTGGAGCAGCTGGCAGATCTGAACTGTGCCTTGAGGTCTGCAGTGTAGCTTCTTGCCACCAGAGCCTCCTGGTTAATAAGGAAGGAGTTAGGCTGCCAACCAAAAGCGGGTTCGAACGCACTAGCTGCCCTGTTGGAGAAAGATGGGCATTCCTCTGGACACCTGCTGGAACATCAGCTGTGAGTTGGTTCTGACAACAGCAATGAGGTTTTTTAAACTTTTGGAAATGTTTTAATTATATATGCTTATTGTGTAGATTTTAGAAATCACAAAAAGACATAACTAACTCTTCCACCATTCAGGAAGTACTGCTGACATTACCTTTCCAGCCTTTTGTGTGACATTTATTTTCGGAAAACAAAACCAAGATCATGTAACTGTAGCCCTACTTTCATTAGAGTAACATGATTATTTTGAGCAGATCACTTTAACGATCTGGAAAGATCCCTCCCCATTTTTGGCCATTTCTGAGCATTTATTCTAATTTTAGCCAGTTTTTTGTTGCTGGATACTTTATCTAGCTCTTTTGGCCATTTATAAATAACCTAGGAACATTCCTATGTCTTCTGATTATATACTCGGAGATTATTCTCTGGGGTCTACTAGATAAAAAATTAGACATTTTGCTGAAATTTTGTATTAAATTGGTATTCTAATATTTATTTCCTCTAAGCTTTAATTCTGTTTTTGTCCTAAAGGAATGGTATCTATAGCCAGACTTCTTGATCTGTTGAGATTTGGTGAACAAGTTATCCCTGAACGGTCATAATTAGTATGAGTGTGTGTGTTGTGGGCTTTTAAGGGAATGTTCGGAGCAGGTGGTGATACGGTGATACTCTTAATCCCTTGTGTTTTCATATTATGAAACTTGAATTTGTCTTGCTGAGTTGAATCACAGGCCAGTTTTTAAAGTTAAGAACAGTTTGGGGAACTTTTTCTTTGATATGTATTATAGTGACTTTAAAAATAATTTGGTAAAATAAAACATTTGCCATTTTAAGTTCACATTTCCATGACATTATATTCACTATGTTGTGCAATGAATACATTTTCTAATCACCCAAAACAAAAGCAGCAATTCCCAGTCCCCACTTCCCCAGCCCTTAATGCTCTAGTCTCTATGCATTTGTCTAGTCTAGGACTATTCATGAGTGGGAGTCTGTACCATTTGGTTTTTGGTGTCTGACTTTTCACTCTGCATGCTTTCAGGGTTTATATGATATATATGTATGTAGCGTGTATCTGACTTGTATTTCATGATGCTTAAATTGTAATCCATTGTGTTTATGCTGATTTCTGTAAATTTTAAACTTCTGTGGATGGCTGTGAGCTTGGCTCACCAAAAATAAGTGTGGGTGCCCCCTCCTGAATCACCGACCAAAGATTTCCAAGTTAAAGTGTCAGTAAGTAAACCAAGTTGGGGGTGTGTGGAGTAAATGTGTGTGTGCACCCCTGCCCCCCATCGAATTAAGCATACTTAGGTTGGGACCAATCTGTGCTGCATTAGAACAGATAAGGAGTTAGGATCAGAATACCATCTGGTGACTGGAGCTTGTGACACACCAGTCCTCACTGGTCAGTCTGGTACTGTAGTGACTAATAAAGGTTAGACAAGAAAGGTGCAGGTGGTGGAAACCTGTAGATGAAATAACTTCTGTCATTCTCCCTACCCACCCAGGGTGGATATTCCAAACATAAAGGGCTCTTTGGTGGTAAAGAAAAAAATAAAAATTTCACATTTATCTAAAAATGGTATCAGGACACAGACTAGGGAAGTTTTTGGCATCCATATACCTGCTTAATATCCAGAAAATAGTTTTTTTTTAAAAAAATCCCTCTCAACAACTTAGCAGACAACCCATCTAAAAATGGGCACAGAAACAATAGCTATTCACTAAAGAGAATAAATGACATCTAGATTGTTAGGAGCTGGAATCTATTTAATAGCAAAACCCACCAATAAAAGCAGTTGCTGCTGTGCCGGTGTCTTAGGACACTCCCAGGAGTGTCGGGGCAGCACTGTCCTCCACAGGGTTTATTTCTGGTGGCCGATTCTTTTGGAAGTAGACTGCTGGGCCTTCCTTCTGAGAAGTTACTCAGTGAACCCTAAGCACCAGCCTTTCAGTTAGCATACGTATACATCGCCCTATGGACCATCATTCATAATTCAACAGGACTTCTCCAAATTATTGAGAAGTAGTAATGTCGGTTGAGGACTAAGGTGCATCCAGTTCAGGTCATGGTCAGTTGCTATGCATCTGAGAGCTGGGCCATGAATAAGGATGCCAGAACTGATGTCTTTGAATGGTATTGGAGAAAAGTGCTGAATATCCTGTGGACTGCCAAAAGCACCAACAGGTAAATCTTAAAGAAGGGGCAGTTAGAGAGTGCTCCTTGGAGTCGGAGATGAAGCTTTGTCTCTTGCACTTCTGGCATGTTCCTAGGAGAGGCTAGTCTTTGAAAATCATCATGCTTGGGAAGGTGGAAGGACAGCTAAGCAAAGGAAGACTCTCCCAGCCAGGTGGGTTGACCCTGAGGTGGCAATGGGCTTGAGTGCGTCAGAGATTCGGGGCGGCACAGGATAGGTTGGACATGGTTCAGGTCTGTTCTTACCGTCACTATGAGTCGGACTCAACTGCACCTAACAGACCCAGCTCACTGCCACTGAATCAGTTCAGAAGTAACCACCTGACTGACTCCACTGGAGTGGATAGCTGGGGTTAAAAAAAAAGCAAAAGTGTTGGGGTTCTTAAATGCTAACGGTGGGCTTCAACTCCTAGTGACTGACCAGTATAACAAAACACTGCCTGATGTTTCCCTTTTGTACTACTGTTGTAGCCACTGAGCCTCTAGGACTCAGCCTTTTCTGGTAGGGAGGTAAAAGGTACACTATTTGGGTAGTTTGGGACCCCCCCTCAAAAGTTTGAACACAGAACTCCCATCGTTGGTGCCTCCTTCGGTTCTGACTCAGTGACCCTGTGTACACAAGGATCACTGCCCTGTGTGGTGCTGTCCTCATGGCTGGTGCAAGGTTTACGCATTATTGCAACCACTGTGCGAGTCCATCTCACTCCGACCCTCTAGACCAAGCAGACTGTCCTCAGTGACTACTTTTCCTGATACACATTTTCCATGGTATGGGGGATGTTACTGCCAGTTTTGCTAAGGTGCGTTCTCGCTGTACTTTCAAGACAGCTTTGTTTTTTTCTAGGAGTTCTTAGCCAAATGCTCCTAATCAGAGAAGCAGACACTGAGCTGACCTGAAAGCAGGGCTGCAGACAACCTCGATTTCACTGCAGCTGTGCTGACAACCAAATGTGCAAAGGTCTGTCCACAAACAGGTGAAGACTCTCGCCGCCTTCGAGTCCGAAGTGACTCGGAGCCGACCCTGCAGTGGGTTTTCAGAGGCTGAAAATCACATGAGAGGGGATAGTCCAAATATTTCATCCTACTTCTTTGAAAAAAAATAGAGAACAAAGTTTGTTACACTGGATAAGAGAAGGGATTTGAGCTTAGGGAGCACTGAGCTTCTGTTGATAGTGGGATATTTTGGAAATAATGACGGCTTCCCATGACATGTAACCAGTGCTACATTCCCAATGAATTGTACTTGTCAAGGATGCTCCTAAATGTTATACATTTAATGCGTGATAAAACGATTCGTAAAAAGGAATACTTTTAAAAGCATCTACTAAGATCTGATCTTGAACAAGGCGAGCTATAAATTCTCAAATTGGTGTGTTAATTTTGATCCTATTCCTACTACATCTAACTTCTCTGTCCCAGTCACTTGCAAAGGGGTGAATGACATAGCTCCCACAGGGGATGAGGACGGCTCACCATGACAGGACGCTCAACAATGGCTGGTACTGTATCCCTAGTGCCTTCTGAAGCGGCAGTCTTCTCTGCCTTTACTCGGGTTTAAATGTCTTAACCATTTTTTAGTCAGTTGTTTAAAATAACGTCAGTGTCCAGTGACCAGGCTACTCCCATCCTTTTCACATTTTGGTGTTTTTTTTTTTTTTTTTAAATGTAGGCTCCACTAAACATTAGCAAAACAAGTGTGTTGTGGTGTACTGTGGAGAACTGTTGTAACCCTAGGGTGTTTATAATGCTTGTCATTGCATTTAGCAACATGGGACTCCGAATACTCTCTAATTCACACAGCCACTACACATAATCAGAGCTGGTGTTGGGCATGAAACCTTGTTATGTCCCAAATGATTTTAAGAAGAAGATCTGTGGTATTACTATGGCCAGAATAGAAATCACAATCGATGTCAAAGGAATAAAAGGAACATATACTTGGTGCTTTTAATTAAAATTTTAGGTATCTTTAAATCTCACTCTCATAATCAGGACACCTTGCTTAAGACATGTATTTATAGAGTTCTATTTTCACGTTAGTGACTAAGGGTCTTGGTCACTGAAGATGCAGTTTATCTGGTCAAAGTTTAAGCAAAAACCAATCCAAGACTCACTGCTGTCTAGTTAATTACAAGTTATAAGAAGCAAAGCCAGGTGAAAAGTACAGTTCAAATGGACCGCGTAACGTTTCTTGAGAAACAAGGTTATAAAGGTTTTACTCGTTGAAGAGTTTCAAAAATCTGCATAAAACTGGTTAAGTACAGGTTCTAAGGCTTCACACCCCTGGAACTAAGACTTTCTCGAGTTAATCAGTGTTGCTGATTTGGGTCTCTTGAAAAGTTCAGCAAAGAACACGGGAGAAATAAAGGTTATGTTGTTTAAATTTCACACACAGTATCCAGGCTGATCCTTACAAAGAAAAAGCAGGCTTCAAGTAAGAGGGCACAGATGCAGCAAAGCTGCTTACAGAGAAAGACAAAGCTGCTATTCAAGACTCAAGAATACAGATAATCTCAATTTCTTTACAAAAGGTTTGGGCCTTTGTTTCCTGTCTACTGGGCAGAATTGGGCACAGCAGCAGAGCAATTTGTGTGTGTCAGCTCCCTCTGGTGGCTAGAAAAGAAATAACAGTTGTAGCTTTTCCCTCCCCTGTAAGATGATGGGACAGAAATGGGAAAAGTATAGCAGTGATGAGAGTCACTGTGACGGTTTCAAATGTTCTTCTTTTCTCTCCCCCCCCCCAACAGTGTCACAATTAGTTCAGGGTCTGGACACAACACATTGAGATCCAGATTTTAGCAGCAGGTCTGAACAAAGCGAGATAGTGCACGGTTTCCATCTGTTGTTCATATGACTGTTAAAAGAGTTTGAGTCAACTTGACAGCAACTTGTTAGCAACAATCATTTTCATTCAAGCAATCCAAGTTACCAATATGCATGTATGTCTTCGTACACTACAAAAGGTAGGACTGTAACACTGTTACAGGCTGGAATAAGAAGACATTGCAAAATAAATGTTTCACATTGTATTTAATCTTAATCAGAATACTGAATTAGGTAGTTAGCTGCATTTTACAAAGGTCAGAAAAATATGATACACAGAGTTCACCTAGCTAGTATGCAGAGCTCAACTTTACACGGTCAACCTATCTCAGGAGAAGAAAGGAATGGATGCCCACCTGATCACGGAGCTGGCAGAGACAGAGAGGGAGGCAGTGGGAGCCAGGACAAAAGACTGCCTCCCTTTGGGGCCTATACTTTTCCCAAGGTTACAGGCCTCAGGGTACGTACACTTCTGTGATATATGCTCACACAGGCCACATCACTCAGAGGAAACTATCCTTTCCTGATTGCTGCATTACACTCTAGCTGCATCTAGATCGGGATGGGCAAATCTTAATTGGAACATCTCATTTTCCATAAGGATTAATAGCCGACTGTTTCCATCTCATCCCAGTTCCCTTTCTAAGGGACTCTTCTCAGAGTCTAAGGACACCCTGTGGGGCTGTTTTATTCTGCCCTGTTGGGTCACTATAGCACACAAGAAGTTCCTTGGAGTCCCTGTACGATCCATGCAGTTACTACTATGCTTGCCTACTTACTGGAAGGTTTCCGGTTCAAGTGCAGCCAGATGCACCTCAAAAGCAAGCCCTGGTTCTCCATTTCTGAAAATCCCGTCAACAATCCTGTGGGACACAGTTCTGCTGGCCCTAAGTCAGGATCCACTTGACAGCACCTCGTTAACAAGTTTACAGGAAGCAGATGCTTCTGTTTTGGGGTACCCAATGGAACGCTGCTTTATTCTTTCTCAGGGACAGTAAGATCCCACCAAAGGCAAAGAATTAAACTTTATTGATTTACTACAGTACCATCTACTAAACATTAGCCACCACCTGAGTGAGGTTCATTATCGCTGCGATTATGTTTCTAACAGTCATAACGTGAGGAAAATCAACTCTGTCAGTACCTTTTGACACTTAGTAACTTAAAATTCTGGAAAGGGGAGATGTGAACCTATAATTTACTATTTAAGAGACCAGGTCTGGCCTTTACAGTAAAGCCGCCATCAAAAGCGGCATTAAGGACTTCATCGAGGCAGCCTGCTGTGACGAAATGTAAATCCTGCCGTACGTTTACTGGGATTTCTTCAAGGTCCTTCTCATTCCTCTTAGGAAGGATGATCTGCTTCAGTCCCGCTCTGTGCGCTGCCAGCACTTTGTCTTTGATTCCACCCACCTGTAGGAAAGAACATTAACAGATTGACGATTCTTCTCGGATGGAGAACGAAACGGGGCACACGTTTCACCCACGCTACGCCAGAGAGGTCACGTAATTACTGTACAGCATGAGATCAGAAAGCCACTGAATAGTTACCTGAATTTTGTGTTTCAGTTAGTCACGCGTTAAAATGCTAATCTGATCACTGGTATCAGATAATAATGCCACACGGGTGTGAGAAAATTCTGCTTTTTCTGACAGGCATGGCACACCTTCACTTCTGTCAACTAGCTGCCTTTTTTAACACGGTGAGTGGCAATATATCCTTTGTTACCTTGTCTATAAACTGACCCTAAAAATTCAATAAAAAGTATTGCCAGGATTATGTCTGTTGTAGGGTTTACGCCAAGACCATATGTCACTTACTGGGAAAAGGTGGGCAGCCTCTTCCTGTGTAGTCTACAGCCTCTGAAAACCCACTGGAGGGTTTGGCTCTGGGTTAGTCCTGAGTCAATGGCAATAGGTTTTGAGTAGATACAGACTTTACAGTAATTTTAAAATACTGCCTGCATATTCTCATTCCAAAAGGTACAGTCTAATTCACCTTCCTTTCAGTGTGGGGCCAGTCTCACTCCTATAAGAAAAAGAATGTGGTGGAAGTTATTCTATATAACTTGCATGATTAAGGTCATAAAAAAATGAAAGCTGCTGCCTGGATCTCTAGCTTGTGGATCACTTTCACCGGAGGAAACCAGCTGCCATGTTCGAGGTCACTTAAGGAGCCTGTGGAGAATCCCATGAGATGACAGAGCGTGGCCTTCTGCCTGCAAAGACTGGCCCTGTGCCGGTCGTGAGAGAAACCACCCGGGCACAGCTCCTACAGCTCCCGTCAATCTTTGAACAAGCTGAGGTCTGGCTGATGTATTTATTGACTGCAAGATGTGAGACCCTGAATTGGAAGCTCCTGAAATTCATGACACTGTGGGGGTCATGGCTGTGTTTTACTGTTTTGGGGCAGTGTGTTATGCAGCAATAGACAGTGAACACAGCTCTCAATTTTCTCACCGAGTGCACACATGCTCTCTCTGGATTAGGTGCTCTCATCCTGCCCCGCCATCACCATTTCCAAGGCTGTTTTGCCCCCATGTGAATCTTCAAAATACCATAGTGAGAAAGAGTGCAGGATTTAACATGAAATACCTGCAATAAATTTCTATTCACAACACACACACACACACACACACACGATGAACTGGATTCCTTACACTGGTTAAAATGCTGTAATCTGGAAGGCTATAATAAAGATCTGTGCCGCTATTTTCAAAGCATTTCTTACCTATCATTGTATCCCTGAGGACAAAGCCTTATTAAAGGTGTTCTGAAAATTCACGTCATTGGTGTAGCCCTTTACAATTTGCAGGAACCTTAAATTCTAGAAAATGTTCCGGTACTTAACAACTTGTTCTATGTAACTTCCTGTTTTCTGTAACTCTTGAGATATTAGACTTGCCAGGTTATTCTGTCCTATTATTTTTCGGTTTTAAATAGTTCTTTGGCCATTTCTAAAACTACAGTTTTAAGCTGAAAAGCTTTGTCTTATGCTCTAGAGTAATCTTTCTCTAGCATTAACAATTCTTTCTCTCTCCCTCTCCTCCTTCCTCCCTCCCACAAAGCTGTGACCTTCTTCTGCTGGATGTGGGGGACCAAGTGAGACTGAAGGAGTTGGGGGGCGGGGTTGTGGGGGACCGAGAGCAGAGGACTAAGTAGACCAATGGGGACATTGATTTCCAGTGAGTCTCCTATTTTTAAAAATCTTGGTACAAAGTATACAATGAAACATTCAACAGTGGGAGAGTTTCTACATGTATAATTCAATGACATTGATTCTGTTCTTCGTACAACCTTAAATCACCATCTTTTTCCTAATTATTCCATTATCGTTAACATGCACTCAATGCGATGGCCCCATCTTTCAGCAGCACATCTCATTACTGCTCTCATCTGGACCTTCTGGCGCTCAGCCACCACCTTCCCCACATTTCTGCTGGGAAAATGAGCTCTACCTTGAATTCTTTTTCCCAGAACATACTGATCTTTCAAAAATTTGTTGAACTCTCAGCTGATGACTCCACTTAAGCCAGGATTTATTCCTGGTCAATAAAGCATTTCTCATTTCCTTTGTTATCCATAATTTGTTGTGATCCGGCGGGCTGCCCTCGGCCCCTGGCCCGGGGCGAGCCGTCGCAGCCCTCTGCCCGGGGCGGGCTGCCCT